TCGGACCGGTCTTATAATAAAAAAATAAAATAAAATAAAATATAATAATTTTACTAAAAAATTCATAATCACAATAAAAAAAATAAATAATGTAATATGTGTGTGGTGTACTAAAGTGTACTATATGTGGTGTAATAAGTGCACAGGGTAATGGGTATTGGTTTCATAGCACTCCAAATCCGACGAAACCCCATCTTCACACGTTCTTTTAGACCTTCATTTTCACTTTCAACATCATCACTCTGTTTATCGAGATAAGCCACAGTCCCATCTACACTTATCACTAGCTTCTCATCCTCTCTAAGCTTAACATCTCCAAAGAGAGAAACAAGGAGTGAGCATATGATTTTCTCTGCTTACTTCTCATTTTCTGCTTTCTTCTATAACTGTGTGTGTGTGTGCGTGTAGACAAAAAGAGAAAGAGAGAGAAAGAGAAAGACAATACCCATTACCCAGCATCTCTTACTTTTCCCCTTTCTCTTATGAAGCAGCTCAAGCCAGCGAAGTGGAGTGAAGAAGAAGAAGGTGACCATCTTATAGAAATGGTAGTAGAACCGGCCAGTTTGACAAAAGCATCCAGTTCACGATTTTTTATCAAAAATCGGTCGGTTTGACGTTTTACTCCGGTTTAATTGTCTAGGCAGTTTAATTCAAGAACCGGACCGGCTGAGGTCCTGGTTCATGGTCCAACAGGTCGAAATCGGCGGGTCCAGTCTAGTTCTGATAACATTGCTCAGGCCACCGTATCCCTTCACAGTAGAGTAGGTCACCCTAACTGAACTACTTAATTTTATGTTTGCTTGCGTTAAGTTTCTTTCTTAATTACTACATTAAATATTTGACAGGTGGTGCATAAAAATATTTTGTGCATCATCAGTTTGACGTCATATATGAGAACGACTTAATTTTCACCTAATTATTTTTGCGTGTTTATGGCTGTTACGACTAGATCCATGAATCAACAAATAGAGGATGATCAATAGCACCAAGAGGAGGTCATGCCCCTACTAGCAAATCCCGTCTCTAAACCACAANTAATTATAATTGTTTGAGGTAATTCATGATTGATAGTAAAATATTGTGATCAATCTAGGACTATTTCAATCATTATAATTTTTTCTTTATGAGTTGTTGCACTTGACTTTTAAAGATAATAACTCCACTTTTAAAAGTGACGGGTCTCGCCTATACTAGGCCTAAATCATGCCAACATTACAAATCATAGGCTCAAAGCAGGNCTTTTAAAGATAATAACTCCACTTTTAAAAGTGACGGGTCTCGCCTATACTAGGCCTAAATCATGCCAACATTACAAATCATAGGCTCAAAGCAGGCCCACATCATAGATACATACTAACAAAGGCTTGGTCACAATTCTAATTGGACCAAGCCCACCTTCTTGAAAGATCCAGCTCATCATTAGCACACGTAGGAATCTTCATCCGAGAGGAAATTCATGGGGACGCAATTATCGGGGGCACATCATTAGTCTCGCGAAATCACATCGCCTGTTATGAGAAAAGACGAGCTTCAAAGAATTACTCCACTATCACCTTGCCCGTTGTGAGGATTAGGCAAATTTCACAGAATTAGTTACGAGGATGGTGCCTCAATTAGAGTCCCTCGAAGCCAATTTCACTTGCCTATAAATTATAAGTCCCGCCTACACATAAAGGACATCACTCACTTCTAAGTACTCTACACTCTTTGAGCAATAAAACACTCAGGCCCAATGTTATCAGAACCGGACAGGACATCGAACCGGTTGAGGGACCGGGTCAATGATTCACTGGTTCAACCGGTCGGACCGGTCTTATAATAAAAAAATAAAATAAAATATAATATAATAATTTTACTAAAAAATTCATAATCACAATAAAAAAATAAATAATGTAATATGTGTGTGGTGTACTAAAGTGTACTGTATGTGGTGTAATAAAGTGCACGGGGTAATGGGTATTGGTTTCATAGCACTCCAAATCCGACGAAACCCCATCTTCACACGTTCTTTTAGACCTTCATTTTCACTTTCAACATCATCACTCTGTTTATCGAGATAAGCCACAGTCCCATCTACACTTATCACTAGCTTCCCATCCTCTCTAAGCTTAACATCTCCAAAGAGAGAAACAAGGAGTGAGCATATGATTTTCTCTGCTTACTTCTCATTTTCTGCTTTCTTCTATAACTGTGTGTGTGTGCGTGTAGACAAAGAGAGAAAGAGAGAGAAAGAGAAAGACAATACCCATTACCCAGCATCTCTTACTCTTCCCTTTTCTCTTATGAAGCAGCTCAAGTCAGCGAAGTGAAGTGAAGAAGAAGAAGGTGACCGTCTAGATTTAGGGCAAAATTAGGAATTTTGGGCATTTTATAGAAATGGTAGTAGAACCGGCCAGTTTGACAAAACCATCCGGTTCACAATTTTTTTTATCAAAAATCGGCCGGTTTGACAGTTTTACTCCGGTTTAATTGTCTAGGCAGTTTAATTCAAGAACCGGACCGGCTGAGGTTCTGGTTCATGGTCCAACAGGTCGAAATCGGTGGGTCCAGTCTGGTTCTGATAACACTGCTTAGGCCACTGTATCCCTTCACAGTAGAGTAGGTCACCCTAACTGAACTACTTAATTTATGTTTGCTTGCGTTAAGTTTCTTTCTTAATTACTGCATTAAATATTTGATAGGTGGTGCATAAACACATTTTGTGCATCATCAGTTTGACGTCATATATGAGAACGACTTAGTTTTCACCCAATTATTTTTGCGTGTTTATGGCTGTTACGACTAGATCCATGAATCAACAAATAGAGGATGATCAATAGCACCAAGAGGAGGTCATGCCCCTACTAGCAAATCCCGTCTCTAAACCACAACAAAAGTTGCTAGAAATTATACAACCGTTGGTGAATCAAAACTAGCAAATCTTCTAGTTGATGTTCGCCGAACACCCTCAAAGGGTCGTGCCCTAGCACCCAAGAGGGGAATCACTCCAGGCACTGAGCCCAGGGCGCCAAGGTACCCTCTTGCAACACCAAGGCACCCCTTAGTGCCAAGGCGCCCCTCTTTAGTTCCAAGGCACACTGGCTTCCCCTCTTTGCGTGCCGACTCCGTCCTTCCATGCTAATGACCATCTTTTTCAAGAAGACAATAGGAAAAACCAGTATGTGGACCAGGAGAGCCATTACAATGACCATTCGGAAGGTATCTCCAACCACTAGGACAAAAAAATCAAAAAAGGGCAGAACTAACTCAGCGATGTCTTCAACGCCATGAAGACGCAAGGGTCTGAAATAGTCAAGTACCTTGTAAGGCGTACTGACATGCCCTTTGTAGCTGATTTGACCAACTATCCTTTTTTCTCAAGGTTCAAGATGCCAACTGTGGAAGTTTTTTATGGCTCCAAAGATTCACTAGACCACCTTGACACCTACAAATCTTTCATATAGTTGTACAACATACCAAACGAGATCATGTGTAGGGTTTTCCCTACCACCCTCAAGGGATCTGCTCACTAGTAGTTCACCAAGCTTACCCCGATCTCCATTAACTCTTTCGCTGAACTAAATAAGTCTTTCGTTTCACACTTCATTGGGGACGCCAACACCAAAAGCCTACCACCCACCTGCTCAGCATCAAGTAGGACCGAGATGAAAACATAAGTAATTATCTTACTCGTTTTAACGATGAAGTCCTCCAGATTGAAAAATCAAATGGCAAAGTCGTCATGGCGGCCTTCACATAAGGCTTGCACTAATCCAATATTATATTTTAAATTTTGATGCGTCCACCAAAGAACATGCTAGAATTACTATCAAAAATCAAAAAATACATGAACGTTGAGAATGTCGTTAAAGCCAGGTTAACTGAGTCCTCACATATAGGGGAAATAACAAAAATGTAGAGACAATCCTAGCAATTTTAGAATCAGTATTGATGGTCAACAACTACTGCTTGCATCATTGTGGACGTTGAGTAACATGGTTTCTGTCATTGCCATCTGCGCCCTTGCTATCATGCAAACGCCCTAGCTATCATGTTTTCCACTTGCTTGACTTTTTAATATAATCCTTTAAAATTCTCCCCATTATTCAACAAATCTTCCAATTTGCTACCCATTGTTCCTCACCTTTTTCTCCACCTTGTTAAAAAAATATTCCAATAAGATAATTGCATTTTATTTCCACAAAGTTTTGAAAACCATGGGTCCTCCATTATTGCCGAATTCTCCATCCAAACCAAGACCACTCTCTCGCACCCTTAACGTCGCGCCTGCGTGCTCTGCTCCCGGCACTCGCACGCCTCCTATCAGTGCCTTTTACTCTAGGCGTTCACACTCCTCTGCTCTAGGCGTCCGCCTCCTCACATTAGGTGCCCTCACCTTAGCACCTACCTCCTCGTATCTGGCACCCTCACCCTTAGCATCTACCTTGCACGTCTTGGCATCTCCCTCCTCCTCTCTATCTCTTGGGAATAAGTCTCCTAAGTAGCCAAAAACTCGATCAAACTCTGTCGCATCTCTCACGTAAGCAACCTTAGTCTCCAACTTAGTGGTGCTCTTGCCACTCGCCAAAAGCTCGGCCTAACTCTGTCTTTACTTTCACGCAAGCAACCTTAGTTCTAGTTTAACAACTCTCTCGCGGGTCACCAAAAGCTCCACCAAACTTTACCTCTACTCTTATATAAGTAGCTCAGTCTCCAACTTAGCAGCTTTCTCATAATTCATCAAAAGCTCGGCCTACTCTACTTGTGGTTTTGCTCAAGCAGCCTTCGTCCTAGCTCCTAATGTAGCAACTATCTCGTGAGTCGCCAAAAGCTCGGCCTCAAGCAATTCTCACTAGCCACCCTCAGCTCCTCTTCTACAGCCTGTTGTGTCTGTCTCTCCCTCATTAGAGTTCTCAATACTTACTCATGCTGGTTAACCCTCACAAATGTCCCTCATCAAAGTACCTTGAGAGTTATGATTTCATCCATTTAGAATGAAGGTTGTTCTCTCCCACGAATAAAACATGACACATGAAAATTCTATTTATTTACTAATTTGTGGTTGAAATTCAAGTTCAGTGGAACAGACGTTTTTTAGGGAAATTCAGTACCCAAACCACCATAGGAAAAAAATCATGGCCATTCAAAGGTTTACCTAGAGTAGACCTAGATCACATATGCAGAGAGATGTTTGCCTAGAGCAGACACAAAGGCTCAATCATAATTCCAATTGGGTCAAGCCCACCTTTCTGAGAGGCCCAGCTCACCATCAGCACACGTGGGAATCTCCATCCGAGGAGAAGGAATCCATAGGGAAGCTATTATCTGGGGCACATAGCCAGTCTCGCGAGATTATCTCGTTTGTTATGAGATAAGATGAGTTTCAAG